TTGTTACAACACTGCCTTGCATGGATTCATTCCTCGTATCTCCACCAGTTGCTCTCTGACTCTGAGATGCCCTCCTTAACTCTGCATTCAGAGCTTTCTTCTACAGGCTTGTACTGGGTGATGTGTCTGCACCTCCATTCTGAAGAAATGCAAACTCTAGACCACACTACTCAGATGTGTGTGTTGGCCACTGTGCAATGGTGGTCAGGAGGGGCGGAATCCATTCTGCTCTCTGCAGGCTGGGCCATGCATGCACCCACAGGACAGGATTCTCTGAACTTTTATCGGTGACATAGGTGTCCTTTAAGCCATAGATGCATCCATTGAGGTGCTGGCCATCTCTTCCTGAATATGCAGCAAGGAACCAACCATACAGCACCGATTCACCTCCTTCCTTCCAGCTGGCTTCCGAGCATCTCCCACTCTCACTCGCCTCATGACTGCCACACAAGGCAGAAAGCCAGGAGGCAGGCAAGCTCCCTGCTGCTGGCCTGCCACATCCTGTGACAGAGTTCAGCACACCCCCCACCCCCTTCAGGCCACTGTCTTAGATTGTGCTGGCCTCATTATTTCACTTTTCATTTAGGCTATCTGCTCAATGCATGCCCGCTGCACGAGAAGTCTTGCTACAAGGTTGCAATGGGGTCCAGGCCCTGTTTGGAAACTTTCCCCTGCTTTCTACTGCCCAATGGGTGGGTGAAGAGTCACGTGTCACATCCCAGCTTTCCCTCACTTGTGTGTTCCTACCACTGCCAAGCCCATCAACCTGCCTTTCTCCTGCCGCTTCACCCTCTGCTTAGGCTACAACCTTGGTCAGATGCCTCTGTCATGGGTCCCTCCTTAGAGTCCTTACACCACCCATGCAGGTGGCAGGTCCCTCCCTGAAGCTCCCATCCTACTTTGTCACTTTGTCATTGCCTGCAATGCTTGTAGGTATTTGCCTGCTTCTGGTGTCTTTGGAGCTACAGTCTCTTAAAGCAGAGCCCGTTTCTCATTTGGCTTTGTATACCCACGGCCTGACCTGATGGCAGCAAGCAGGGCACAGACCCTCATCCATGAAATCCTAAATGCATGTGAATGCAAGCAGATTATCAGAGGAAGGGACACCAATGTAAATGAGGCTTTGTGCAGAACACTTATTATGATTATTATGCCCAAACGCCCTCTGGGGGAAGACAGATTAGGGATTAGGGGGCAGGGGGAAAGCTAGGGGACTCTCAGGATCCTTGGGTTCTGCACTGGTGGATTCTACCAGTCACGGGCGGCTTCGATGCTCAGGGGAGACAATTGCATATCCTCTGAACATGCATAGGATTTTTTTCTCATCATTGCTCCCTGAACAATACAAAGTAATGACTATTTACATAGCAAGACACTGGATTGACACTATACATAACTAGAAATGACTTAAAGTCCATGGAAGGGTGGGTGTAAAGTTCTATGCAAACAGGGGCATCTGTGTGTGGGGGGAGTGTTATCAGAGATCTTGAATATCACCTTGAGGGGCATCTGCATTTGAAAATTATCCTCTGAGAGGATGAGTGACCTCAGTGCCTCGTAGCTGTGACCTGCCACCTGGACAGATGGAGGTGCTGCCATGAAACACCCAAGTTGGGACAGAAAGCAGAGTCCAGCGGTGAGGTACCAACTCAGAGGCCCCAGGAGTCAGGGTGTGAGGCTGAGGCAAGTGTGCAAACAAGGATGGCTTCTGCTAGGTGCTCTGCTACAGACAGGCAGGCAGCCTCCAAATAGGGAGGGGTGGGAGAAAACTCCAGCAGACCAACATCTGGAAGGAGAGACAGAGCTGTTTGCTTCTCCTCTTTACCCTGTAGCAATCCTTAATGATGCTCAGGAGTTGCTGGAAGAGTTATTTCCCATTTTACTCCTTCTTGGTCCTTTCTACCTCCAGGGCCCCACAGGCTCTCTGTGAAACTCTCTTCGAATACCTCAGACCTCTTTATAACCCTTCTCAAGTGTAATTACACAGGTATTCATTTAAAATCTGCTTCCAGAGCTAACAGTATAGCACACTGATATCATATTTGCTTAGAATGTGGGGTTCAGTCCCCAGAAACACACACAGACACCCCTCCAGTGCTCCCAAACATGCACACAAAGCTTTAAGATCTGCTCTCACTATAAGCAGACAAACAATTTAGGGGCAAGGCCATTCCTCATGGTACATATTTGAAGCTCAATAGATAGCTGTTGAATTGAACAGAAAAACAATGACCACAACAACTACCCAATGAGAGCGTAAAGCCAACCGACCTACATCCAGAATGCAAGACCAAGGAGTTAGGATTACCCAGTAAAAGAAAGAAAGTGGGAAGGCCCAGTCCTACTGGACCAGCCAGATAATTTAGCAAATCAGCCCACAGGTAAGCTAGCATATCAGCCCACCCTATCACCCATAAGGCTGGTGAACTTGTGAACCAAAGTCATCTTCTCAGTTTTTAATGTTCAAAAATAAAAACAATGTGATTTCATAACACATATAAGTCACTGCAATTCATATTCCAGTGTCCACTCATAAAGTCCTTCGCCCTTTTTGCCATACATAAAGTTTTATTTGTAGCTGCACTCACTAGCTTACCTGCTACAGTGATAAAGTTAAGCAGCCGTGACAGAGATCACAACCCTCTAAATCTAAACTATTTACTGCCTGGTCTGCTAGAGAATCAGTGTATCAACCCAAGGAGCACGCTGCACCCCATAACCCCAAGGAAGCTCTGACCTACTGGTGTTAGAAAAGTCAGAATTCTGGAAGAAAGCTACCAGACACTGTCTGTTGATATAGAATGCGGCTGCATTTCCGTTCCTAAGTAGAGTAGTACTTGAATTAGTGACAGCACATTCCTAATACACAGTGATTAAAAAGGAATGCGTTAGATTGAAATATTCAAAGTATAGAACAATGCCTACAATAAATTGTTGGCATGATTTAAAGGACAGAAAGGATAACATTTGTAACTTATTTTTAAAACACCAGCATGCCTATGCTTAGAGGATAGAGAACATAAACGCCTCAAAGGATCTATGTGATAAATAGCTCTGGGAAATTTGACTGAGGATTTTTAATGTCGATTTCCCATTTCTATTCATTGGCTTTTTAACTCTGAGAATATACTATACTATTCTTTAACTGAGGGATGAGAGGGAGAGAGAAACAGAGAGAGAGAGAGAAGGAAAGGGAGGGAGAGAGGGGGAAAGAGAGAGGGAGAAAGGGAAAGGAAGAGAGAAAGGGAGAGAGGGGAGAAAGGGGGAAGAGAGAGAGGGAGAAAGGGAAGAGAGAGAGAGAGGAGAAAGGGAGAGGGAGAGGGAATGAGAGCCACTTTCTCTATTCCCCTTTGCAACAGAATGGCTAATTTGAGACAAGAACAAATCCACCCCAATTCTTGGTCTTGAGCTCATCCAGTCCAAACTCTGCAGTGCACAGATGGAGATCTGTGTTCAGACACCCACTCCCCTCGGGGGAGGCGCACTGAAGCAGCCGCTCCCCAGGGGAAGCACATTCAAACAGCCACTTGTACCCCTGAAACATCTAGGCTCCCAGAGTGGGGCAAAACTGCTGGAGTGTTTGTTTTGAGGAAGTGTAAGATCAGAAGAGTTACAAACAGCCCTGCTTCCCTTTTCCTAGAAACCCTGGTCACTGCTCTTCAAGGGGAACACCCTGCTGAGCATGCAGGTTAGGGCGCTTGTGGTGTAGCAACTACTGGCTTCTCTGTGTCTCCCCCTAGATGGCTGCTGGTTGTCCTCTCACTGGGACCCCTCCTCTTCGTGCAGGCTCAAAATTGTCAAGCACATTTTATAAACAGCCATGTCCCAGGCGGCAAGGGAGAACTATGAGGTCAGATGGGCACAGAAGACACAAGTGTGGCCAATACTGGGACCAACAGGCAGCCGTTCACCATTCACATTCTGCCTTGGCACACATGTCTACGATGCCCACTGAGTCTAATTTTCCTTGAGCTGCTTCTCTTGGTTTTCTCAAGGCAGAGGCCTTGGGGATATAGAGAGGCCAGGACTTCTCAGCTGGTTTGCCTTACATGTCTGTCCTCACCCTGAACAGTGTCCTGCTTAACTTGTACCAAGACTAGCCCTACTGCATCGCATCTCCAGGTTTGGGTTCCTGGAGTCATTTGGGAGATACAAGAATATTTAACTCTTTGGAGCAGGGAGCTACAGTCCCGCTCAGCTGGGAGGTATGTGAGGAGTGGCTGGGTGGCTGGATGTGGGCTTCCAATCCTCGTACCTGGGAGGCTGCCACAGGAGAACTAGCAGGCATTCAATCAGTCTGGTCTACATGGTGAATTCCAGGCCAGTCTAGGCTATCAACTGAGACCCTTTCAAAAGAGAAGAGAAGAGAGAAGGGGAGGGGGAAAGAAAGGAAAGAGTATGGGAAGCAGGGGCGGGGGGTGCAGGGAGCCAGTGCTGAGGGAGAGGATGAATGATCCACACATAGCCCCACCATTTCCAAATGGACAATCCACAAACAGCAGCCAGTGAGATACATCAGTTGAGAAACGGGTGTTAAAGTGAAATTAGGGAGAGTATTTGCAGTCTCCTGGATCTTCAGTACCATTTGAACAGTCCCTAGACTATATGGATTACCTTGACCTGTTGACCTAGCCTCTGAGGTCATTCGTGAACATACAGACCTTGATCCTAAAGTTGAGTTCAATGAAGGGGGGGGGGTGTGAGGTGTCAGGGACACTGGGAATCTGGAAGTACCAGATGTCCCCTGAAGTTGCTTACACACTGCAGACTGAGGTCCCAACAGCCAGCATTGGGGAGGAGTAGGACTCTGCTGTAGGGCCCTGGCATAGGTTAAATAATTCTAGAGCAAGAGGGTTAAATGCCAGGCTGTCTTTCCTTGAGTCAGATTTAGCAAGAAAAAAGCCCCCAAACCAGAGGGTTGGAGGGGGAGAGAGAAAAGCACCCCTAGGAAGAGACAAATATCTGCCAGTTAGAAAAGGCAGTTCCTGAGCGGGACTCACCATTGGTAGTCGTGTTGACATAGTAACGGCGGCCCTGAGGAGACAAGTAGCTGTGCCAGCCAGGTGGAAGGATGACCGTCTGGCTCTCCTCTCCCGGCGGAGGGGGGACCATCCCAGGCTTCTGTTGGAAAGGAAGGAAGAGGTCAGACATACTTGCCATTTTCACAACTGGGTTGAACCACAGAATCACTTTGGAATCGCTCAACTGGGGATGGCCTGGCCTGCAGACCAATCTTGGGGCAGGTGGCATGCATTGTGAGGTGCCTCTCACAGAAGGCACAGCCCCTCCCAGAGCAGACAGAAGAGCTGACCTTCTTCCCTATCAGACCCTGCGAAAATCAATCACTGGATGCTGTCACTCTACATGGCCCGCTGTGGACTGTGCAGTCTACACCCGCTGTGGCCTGCACAGTCTACACTCCACAGGACCACTGAGAATAGAGGCAGACACAGCCCCAGGCCTGCTGTGCAAACCTAGCAGAAGTAATTAATGCAAGTCGCGGCAGAAGGAGGTGTAAAACATTCTATAATAATGTTGAGAGTCTGTGAGAGCTAGGTAGAGTTTCTCTCTCCAAGCGTCATGTCACTGTGGCAAAGGGAGTCAGGATTTTTAAGACAAACCAGACACCACAGGCTTGATTCTTGTGACCATGCACAGTAACATTCATCTTGAGAAACAGAAGAATGCGTTAAGTCCAAGCATTAGGCGGAAGGCAGGAGCACATGCTGTAACTAATTACATCTGTGATCCCTCGGTGGTGGGCTTGTGGGCAATTTTTATCTTTTTTTTTCTTTTACTTATCTTTTCCATGTAAATCTCCAATGAACAACAAAACTGAAGGTTCTCAGCTAAAGAACATTTAAAAATAAAGACAGAGGATCCAAATTAGCCCACACAATTGCTGTGCCTTTTGGAGAAGGTAAATTGACAAAAATCAGAACTGCAGCTACAGAAGGCTGAGAATTTCTCAGCGAAACCTGTTTAAAAATACAAAAGACCACCAGCTCCTCACTGCCCTTGGTATCTCCTGCCATGCCCACAGGAGTAGCCACTTAGGTCACCAATGACCAGTATTTAGGAAAACAGGATAATGGCTGAAACCGGAGCAACAAAGTGTGCTCTGACATCTCTCTCCAGCCAGTCCTGAGACGGCTTTGTCTCAGCTTCCTGTGGTGGCCTTTGCACCATAAGAGGAACAAACAAATCCCAAAAGCTCCTAGCAGAAAACATGGCCTCCCTCAGCTGTCTGCATAGCTCTGGTGCATGTCATGATGTTCCTCTGTGCTCACATGCTTGTATCTCCTGCATGGGTACCTGGTGAGCCAAAGCACCTCTTTGATTTTTGCATGAAAAACTACACTCTAGACAGGTGACGGTGAGGTATGCAGCAGCCAGGCTGAAAGTAGTGTGCTGTCCTCCTCCTTGACACCAGCATGGACCACATGCCAAACACAAATGAACCCGGGAGCAAGAGAGGCTGGCACGGAACACCAACCACTCTAGCATCTCCTGGTCTGGATGATGGCCAGAATACAGGCAACACAAATAGCATTATGATGAGCAAAGAGTGAGTGAGAAGCAGGGTGTGATGGTGCAGGCCCGTGATTCCAGCACTCAGGAGGATGAGATGGGAGAATCATTGAATCCCAGGCCAGTCTAGGCTACATAGCCAGACCCTGCCTCAAAAAAGACCCAAGAGTTAATGAATGAGAAGAGGGAGGAAAGACGAAAGCAAGGGAAGCATGGGGGAGGGAAGAGGAGAGAAAGAACCCTGCACACACACAGGGCCTTGGGAATAAAGTGGTGGCAGGGTGGGGAGTGGAGGGAGGGTGCTGAAGAGGGTGTTTTGCTGGAGAGTCTTCTAGGACCAGAAGATGAGATGGCTGGTTATCTTTTCTTGATCTTAACATCAAGGGGTACCACACAGAGGGTCCATGGGAAGCTGTTGAAGTGAGTTAAGCAAGGCTCTGAAGCTCCCAGGAAGGCATTGCACAAAGAAGATCCATGTCTGCAGAGTAAACAGCCTTAGGCTCAAAGCACCCCTGGTGCCAACCCTACTTACCTCAGCCACACAGCCACCACTGGACCTCAGGCAAGTGACTCAGTCAGGCTCTTTCCACATCAATGAAACAAAAGAGGCTAATAATGTTGGCCCAGGTGTGGCACATGCTGTGGGCTATGGAGATCCACAGTAACTTGCCCAAAACCAGAAAGAGGGACCGTCACCAGGGTTCCTCAAGAGATGGGGGAAATCTCACTGGAAGGGGGATGGAGATGAGCTCTCCAGGCTTTGAGATGAAGTCCAGGCAGACATACTGACCTCCCCTCCAACTGCCCCTTCACCGTGTCTGAGATGTCACCCTCAATGGTTGTTCTCTGAGGTTTCTGCTGCCAAGAAAGGGAGCTCACTACCCTCTGGAGTTGACCAATGTTGGAACGCTGGTCAGGGAGGAGTTCAAGGGCCAGAGTGTAAATGAACTGAGTCATCTGATGCCCCAAGGCCCCAGCTTTGGAGAAGCTGTAAGGGGCCTGACCTCTAGTCTCCTAGTACCCCTCTCTTTAGAATGACTCTGGTTAATCTATCTGTATAACCCAGTGAGCTCATGGGAAGCCTCGGCTTACACATGAGGATATGGGTAGCCATGAAGGTACAGTGCCAGGGAGGGCAAAAAGGGGGTGGGAGAGGTTTTTATTTGGCTGATGTGCTGTGCTTAGGGTGGTCTCCAAACACAGCCACGGTCACCCTCCCTGCTGGATATCTGACCGCCTTGCCTTCGTTTCTGGAGCCAGCTGCAGCCCTCTTGCCTTTTCTTTCTTAGGAAGAAGTCCTTCTGGCTGGCTCACCACCCACAAAGCAGGAGTCAAAAGATGCTGGAGACAGCTGGGGAGATTCTCCCCCCAAGACTGAAAACAAGCATCCCCAACAAGCTGTATGTGAGCATTCAGGACAGAAGTATTAACAAAGGCCAAACATGGAGACAACCAACACAAAGGACCATCCTTGAGGATATGAATAAAACACAGGATAGCCATACAAGTGGAATATTACTCAGAAATTAAAACAGAGTCCTGGTTCTCGCTACATAGTGGCCGGCCCTTAAAAACATCATTAAAGAAGTCAGATCACAAAGGTAACATGTGGTCTCATTCCATTATGTGACGTGTTCAGAGCAGGCAATGCTGCAGAATATGTAAAATACACTAGTGGTTACAGAGGACTATGGGCAGGAAGATAAGGTGGATACAGAGTCTCTCTCTCTCTCTGTCTCTCTCTGTCTCTCTCTCTCTCTCTGTGTGTGTGTGTGTGTGTGTGTGAAAATGGTCTAAACTAGGAAGATGTCATGGTTAGTACATAATTAGTACATAAATGCTATGCACCATCAACTCTATATTTTTATCACAATAAAAAATTGTCTTCGAAGAACATACAGCAGGGCTAGAGATATGACTCAGAAGTTAATGGCACTTTCTGCTCTTGCAGAGGACCCAGGTTTGGTTCCCAGAACCTACATGATGGCTCACAAACAAACAAACAAACAAGCAAGCAAACACCGGTAACTACAGTTCCAGAGGATCTGATGTAGTCTTCTGGGCTTCCTAGGTATTGCACACATGTGATGCACAGACATACATGCAGGCAAACACTCATATGTATAACATAAAAATAAAACTTAAAAAAAATGCTAAGGCAAAATTTTAGCATCATCACCTGCCAGTCCTCACTGAAGGGTCCCAAAGCATCAATCCTCACTCCTCACTCTTATGACCTCAGAGGAGCAGGACCAGGCAGCCTTCTGTGAGAGCTTCCCACAGCCACCTACAGGATAGCCTGTGGATGACCACCTAGTAATTAAGGACTCCCTTGAAACTCTTTTCTAATTAGTTCTCTCCCTAGTTAAATTCTCTTGCTCATGCTGGTTAGTTTTATGTCACTTGATATAAGCTAGGGCTATTTGGGAACCTCAATTGAGAAAATGCCCTTACTAGATTGGCCTGTGGAAAACCCTTTCTTGATTTATGACTGATGTGGCAGGGTCCAGCTCACCATGGGTTGCACTACCCCTGGGCTGGTTATCCTGGTTTCTATATGGAAGCAGAATGAGCAAGCTGTGAGGAGCAAGCCAGTAAGCAGCACCCCTCCATGGTCCCTGCTTCAATTCCTGCCCTGACTTCCCTTCATGATGGAGTGTGACATGAGAGTTGTACACTGAAATAAACCATCCCCCCCAAGTTAATTTTGGTCTTGGTGTTTCATCACAGCAATAGAAACCTGACTAGGACACCTTCCTTCCCTGGCCCCGTGGCTCCCCTCCTCAGCTCTCTTGGCTCTTTCCAGTGGGAGGGGAAGGAAGGGCAGAGAGGTACCACACTAGAGCCACAACACCTAGGACAGACAAGACCAGAGGGAGCAGAGCAGGTTGGAGGTGAGAAGGTTCCTGGTAGGTGAGGCATTGTGAGTACGGCACACAGGATGTCTCTGGAGGGATTATAAACCCTGGCTCTACCTTGGGAAGGAGCCAGCCCCAGGCCAGAGCACAAGGCTGGGTTTCAGTCCTTCCCACTCTTCCCTCATTTGATCAAGAAACATGTTTAACTCTACACAAAAGTTCATGCTCTGAGATGAGAAAAGAAGGTATCAGTCTTCTGTCCTTCCTCCGAATTGGTGTGAAGATCAATTGTGGTGTCGCACCGCACCAGGCAGCCCATTATTATATATTTTTTTAATTTTTCCTGTGTAATATTACACTGCCTGACTCTACACAGCGTATTTGTTTATACATTAGTCCTCTGTTGGATACTTGCATTGCTTTCACTTTGGAGCCATTGTAAATAATGGAGCTGGAGACACTTGTAACTTACTCTACTTCATATGTGACATAAAGAAGTTTGTAGACCACTTCAAACTCCTAGCCTAATTTAGATGCCCATACATACGTAATCCTGGCCCTCAGGAATCTGAGGCAGGAGGATCACTGGTCAAGACTGGTTTGAGATACTGTGTCCATGTATCTGTAAGGACTCTTATCCCTAAATGTCTTTAGTGCACGAGGCCCTAAGCTTCATACATCTCTGTAATACATGTCTGTATTAAGGATGCTTTTATTCCTATTTTTAAAGTA